GTTCAGGGCCTGTTCTTGGACTGCACGTGCACATGCGTGGCAGAAGAACCCACCAGTGTTGAGGGTGGGGGGTGTTCACTCGCTCAGGCTCCCCCTCTAGTCACCAGAATGTTGTTGCTGTTGTTGTTGGTATATGCCATGGAGTCGGTTCCGACTCATAGCTACCCTGTACAGGGTTTCCAAGGCTGTAAATCTTTACGGGAGCAGAATGCCTCATCTTTCTCCCACAGTCACCAGAATGGAGGTGGGCAAATAGTGGGTGCGCCAATGAGCAGATACCAAAAAAAAGAAAAGAAAATCAGAACAAAGCAAAACTGACAAAGTGTATTGTTCACCTTTGCTCCAAGGTTCCCGCGGCGTTTTTCCGTGGTGTTTCTGCTCCCCCGTTTGGGCATGCCGTTTGGTCTCGCCCAAGATGTCAGCTCTAGGCCTCCAAGCTCGGCCCGGCAGATCCCAAAGTACGCAATTTTTTACTTCAGCTTCAAGTTCCACAATCTATAAGTCTTCACACCTTCAAAATATTACTGTCTCTGTGGTTCTGAGTTTTGGAGCTCTGCCCTGGATCTGCTTTGCCTGGTATTCTGTGGTATTGCTGATGGCGAACTTCACTGCACCTCCACCCTAGCCGCCATCAAGCCGGCCTCTAGCCAATTACTTTTGATACATAAAAAGAACAGATTAGGCACAGATGCTAGGAAGCACAGATGGACGAAGACTGATTTCACATCAGGTGAAGATTGCCAAGGAACTAAGGAACAGAAGCTGAAAATAGACAAGAACCTTCCCCCAGAGCTGACACAAGAGATAAAAGCTTTTCCTTAGAGTCAGTCCTGAACTTGGACTTCTAACCTCCTAAACTGTGAAAAATAAACTTTGATTGTTAAAGCCACCCACTTCTGTCATAGTAGCATGAAGAAGTGAAAATACTATCCTGTATATCATTAGGTGCTGTCCTGTCAGTTTCGACTCATGTGACCCTATTTGGGGTTTCCAAGGAGCAGCTGGTGAGTTTGAACTGTCAACCTTGTAGTTTGCAGTTCAGTGTTGATCCTACAGCACCATACCAGGAGCCCAACACTATCATAGTGGGAGAGAAATTCACTTGGGGTGAGATATCAAGTAATTGCTTAGGTAGGTGACAAAACAGTCATGCTGTGGAAATATCATTTAACTTGGAGCAAAAGATGGCTAGGGGGGATACCATTTCTGTCACTATCTGACTGTGGTATTTTAAGGAAGTTAGTAAATTATCTTAGTTCCAGATCATAACCCATGAAACAAACATAATGATACTACCTATCTCAAAAGCTGTTGTGATAAATAAATTATGATATGTATGACACATACAAGGGCCTCTGGTAGCATAGTGGTTACAAATCGGGCTGCGAACCACAAGGTCAGCAGTTCGAGATTACCAGCTGCTCTGCGGGAGAAAGATGAGGCTTTCTGCTCCCGTAAAGATTTACAGCCTCGGAAACCCTGTACAGGGTCGCTGTGAAGCAGACCTGACTTCACAGCATATAACAACAACAACAATGACACATACAGGAGTTGCTGGATGTTGCAAAAATGGTTAGGCACTTGAGTACTAGGTGGAAGGCAGCTGATATGACCCCACACAAAGGCACTTCGGGAGACTGTCCTGGTGACCTGCTTATATATCTTAAAAACCCTTTGTGACAGCTCTATTCTGCACAAATGCTGTTGCCATAAGTAGGAATGAACTTTACAACAACTACCAACAACATATCCTTATGAGGAATCCCTGGAGGAGTAAGTGGTTAAGTGCTGGCCTATTAACAAAATGCTGGTGGTTTGAATCTACCCAACAGCTCTTTGGAAGAAAGACCTGGTGATTACTTCCAAAGGTCACAGCCATTGAAAACTCTATAGAGCACAGTGAAATGCACGGGGTCGTCAGGAGCTGAACTGCCTCAATGACACCTGGTTATAACTACAAGGAAAAAACTTTCAGATCCTCGAAAAGTTAATAAAAAGATGTGAAATTTTTATTTAGATTGGTTTCATCATTACATTGGTGTTTTCTTTTTATAAAATAAACAGTCCATCAAGATATTGCATAGAAAATACACACTAAGATAATGTATATACACTTCATAAAAATAGAATACATCTTGGCAATTGCATCCAGAGTCTATTACCACCGTGTACAGTGTATTGACGTTGAACATTTATGCTAATTTGAACATGAGATTTTTTCAAAGAAAAACTAAGAAACCTATCCCATTGATATTTTTCAAATTCTTTTCAATCAACAGAAACATCTTTAAAAAGCTGGAATGTAAATGTTTGGGAGCTACCTGAATGGAAGATTACATGAAAAATATAAAGGAAAGATTCATGGAATGAACAGTCATCTGAGAATAAAAGAATATTTTTTTCTACTATCATAAATGTTTCAGTTTATTTGACAGAATTACTGCCAATTATATCCTTATTATGGAGATTCACTCAAGGTGAGCACTCTTTGGGGTTAAAATAAACCTTTCTAGTGGCTATGCCAGGTTTTTTAAATGAGTGGTGTTTCCTCTTTATCTGTTAAATGAAAGCATGTATATAAATCCTATTAGAAAGCATCAATATGTTTAAAAAAGCATCTTTATATGTTATTTCATAAGCTTTGATCAAAACACATAACAACCAGGTTTGTTCATCTAAAAATGGTCAAATGCTCAGAAATCCACTTGGCTTTGACTTGGTTGTTTCTGTTTTGTTAAGGAAAAGAATCTTAGCTACTTTGCTTCTATAAAATATTGCTGATGTGTCTTATTAGATGTTCAGGGCAATCTTTGGAAAGTAACTGCTCCAGTGTAATAAATAAAGAAGTAATAAGGGAGTTTTCTAGACCTTATGAAAAAAACAAGATCATGTTGGGACAATGACAATACCTCATTAGACCCAGGAAGGCATGCAAAACAGAGTTTAGCACCATTGCCAAGTTGCCACAATTGCAACTGTTCAGGAGAAAGTAATCGGTAAAAGGACTTGATTCCCATGATTAATACAGTTTAAATACGTGGATTAGGGTTTGAGAGCTTCTTAGTATGGATAGGCAGACACAGCTATATAAACTATGAATGTGGTCTGATATTCAATGGTCCCATTGGCACTGTAGGATAAGGCTCGGACCCTCATGCGGTAGGTCTCTGGTTCTCGTAGTGGTCTCGTTGTATACACCACTCCTTTCAGGTTTTCATCCCTTAAGGCGAAAGGAACAGTCTGTTCCTCATCTACCATGAGGAACGTTGTCCTGGGATGCATCACTCCATCCTGCGTGTATGCAACCAGCCGGATTAAATCTTGATTGGCAGCTATTCCAAATGGGAGGGAGACAAGTTTGTATTCCAAAGCATATGGGCTCAAGGCACATTCCAAATCATTGGGTGGACAATTCTTGAGGCAGAACCTAAGGACAACAAGCACATGAAAAGCACAGAGTTATCTGCCTTCGAAGAAGGAGAGGCTTGAAGCAAGTGAACATGATCCATGACAACTTTTCAGCATTAAACTGTCATCTGACTACAAGAGCAATACAGCTCACCCCAAGTTCTAAGTCACTAATCCAAACCAGGCGCCAGATGGCTATGATAAAAGCTCACAGCTCCTTTAAAATCACAAGACTTTGGATCATGGAAATAAGTGTAAATACCACAAGAGTGTCTTTAAAATGAAACGTCAGGTTTTGCAAGAAAAGTCTCTGGACATATACTGGAAACATGGGCATCTTGAAGAAAAGAATACAAGTTGCTTTTTAAACTTAAAAATAGCATCTTTCTAAGATTATCTGGAAGCTGAACTAGAATAAATTAATTTTTGGTTTATTTGTCTAAACAAAAAAGGTCAATTTGAATTCCTGGAATAAAAACAACTTCCTTTTGTACTTGTATTCAACATTTTCTGAAGCTATGGATTCTTAAGTCACAATATTTTTTGAAGTTCCATACATCTGTATGTTAAAATTTATCTTTTCCCTTTCTAGTCCTTTTAAACCAAAGGCAAACAGGTTCTTGGTGGATGCTGGGCAGGCTGCACTTGATCAAGGCACAGTAGTTTGGTGGCAACACCCAGAGGAAAAGAAAGTTTTGAGTTCAATGCAATACTTGGTTTCAGAGTCACCCTCTTATTAGTAAGGCCTATCCAAGATGAACATCATCACTTGTTTTCAAGAACTCTGTTAACTTGGCACTTAACCAAAGTACAGCATTTCTGTAAGGGAGGGAAAAACACAGTAGCAGTTTATTCAGAACTCAGAAAAGACAGTGTTTCAGACAGCAGGAAATGTAAGCAAGACGACATATGCATAGGTAGACTATTGAATCATCCTTTCTCATCTCCATTCTTTAGTGGAGTAGTGAGTCATCATAGTAACAGAAAATATGTTGCTTGCTCTAAGTGCAGAGAGCCCTTAAACCCCCAAGGTAGCACAAATGGAAATAGAAACATTTCAAAGATGGGCAGACTCCAGCATCTCATCATCTCATCTACTGAGACAGACGTCTAGATATTACATGGAGGATTTCATACTGGGAAGACTGCCCCCAGGGGACCCTGTCAGCCAAAAGTGATGGCATAGGCTGCAGTGGTTGCTGATGGATGAGCTCACTTCTTGCCCATTCACTGAAGAAGGACCACAATGTTATTCCATTTCAGTCTGGGGTCACTGACTCCCTGTGAGTTAAACATGACTACAGACAAGGTTTTCTGACCAAGGAGACAGAGGAAGAGGATTATAAAAAGTGTGTCTGGGATGACAAGGTAAGACATACCCTGAAACAGGATCTCGTTGGTAATTGGGTGGACAGGGTGTATCAATGCACTGGAAGCTTCCTCTCATGTTGAAGCACATACGATTTGGTCCACAGCGTACATTCTGCTCCAAACACTCATCAACATCTAATAACAGCACAAGGAACAAGCAGCATCAGAAACATGGTCAGAGGACTCCATAGCAGGCCTTCTGGATACTGAACTAGAACACAGAAGGCCAGACGTCTACTTTCCTCAGTGGCTGGACTTAAGTTTTTTCAATGACAAAGTGAGAATTATGCTATGTAGTGCTTTTTTGTTTTGTTTCTTTCAGATTTTTTCCCCAAGATACTTTCTTTAACATTTGTGAAAATGTGGTAATGTAAGCTAAGCACAGGACAAATTCAGTTTGAACTACAAGGTTGGTGGTTCTAACTTACCAGCCGCTCCTTGGAAACTGGGTCACTATGAGTCAGAACCAATTCAACTGTACTTAACAACAACAATGTGAAAGGACATAGAAAACCAAGAGTTATAAAAGTAGAAGGAAAACCATAAACAACTGTCTGGTGTTTCTTGAATTTGGAACAAAGAGTACATTTGAGTTTTGTAAAGCAAATAACACTTCAAATGCACTAAAAACAAGCTGAAAAGTTAAAGGACATGTGTGAACCTCTTTTGTAAAGTGAAGAATCTCTTCAAAATGTAATTCTTCCCTAGAGTTTTGTTTAATGAGTTCAAATTGTTGCGTAGGGAGACTGATCACAGGAAGATGTTATTGAATTGTAGTTGTTGTAATCCTGGTGTGGCACTGTGGGATAAAGCACTGGACCACCAGGTCGGTTTGAACCACAAGGTCAATTGTTCAAACTCACCAGCCGCTCTTTGAGTAGGGTGACTGATCAGAGGAAGATTTTATTGAATAGGGTGGTAAAAATTAAATAAGTTGAGTTATTTAATTCAGGGGAAAATGTACAAGCCAGTCAGTTTTTGTTGAGAGAGAAAAAACAAATAATAAAATAGGATTAAATGAATACGTCTAGAACCACAATCCAAGTTTAAACAAATAAAGCAAAGTCCAAATGAAACATCAATATGGAACCAACAGAATTTTTTTTGAAATTTTTGAAAATGTTTATAAGCAATGACTCTTAACATGGGTTCATATTTGAGTATGAGAGGAATTTTGAATTTTTTGAATTTATACAGCAATGGTTTTTGCATCTGTATATTTGTGTGTTTGTATGAGAGAGAGAGAAAGAGAAGAGGTTTATGGGTTTCCTCACACCCCTCTTTATAGAGCTCAACAAATTTTCAAGGATTCTGGGAGTCCAAATAAACTAACAGCCCCACATTTTAGAGCAATGGTTTTCCTATTAGGGTACATGCACCCCCTGATGGTGCATACAGGTTTTCAGCAGTATGAAGACAGATAAACGTTTCAGAGACTCAATTCCAGATCCTCCATTCATAACTTCTTCCTAAAATCAGTCTGTCTGAGACTGCTTGTGGCCTAGAGTTCTACCCCAACCCTGTGGGTCCTTTTACAAATTTCTGTTTCATAAAAGGATGGTTTCCACTCACTCGTAATCTTTGCATGATTCCCCTAATTAAAAAAAAATTAAAAAAAACAAAAAACTTAGATAAAAGACAGCTTTGAAATATATGTATTGACAGCATCAAACTTTATCTTATTACTGCTATGAACCAATAATCTTTGCTCTCTATTTTAAATTATATTTTATATGTAGCCTAGTTGTTTTTAGAACACCTATTAACAGTTTTCTCAAAGTCCTGGTGTGATGTTATGGGTTAATGTGCTGGACTGCAAAGTCACTTTGAACTGAAAGGCTGGAAGTTCAAGCTAACAATCTGTTACATGGAAACCCTAACCAGGGTCAATATGGGTCGGAACTGACTCAACAGCACTTAACAACAAAGAACATAAACATTTTTATTTGAACAACAACAAGAAAAATATGACTTTAGACTTCTAATAGTCAATCTGGTAGGATAAGCACTCGACTGCAAACCATAAGATTGGTAATTTAAATCCAGCAGCCATCCTTGGAAACCCTATACAGGGTGGCTATGAGTCAGAATCAACTAGACAGAACTTTAATAACAGTAACAACATTATTAGTTAGATAAGGATGGATTTCCACATAGGAATAGAATGAGCTTTTATTTCAGTAAGTCTTGTTGAATCAATTCACAGTAACTCTCTGTGAACCAACTTCTAATTATGATTTTATCTGTTACAAGTGCTTCATCTCCTTAACAACATGAGATGGTCTCAGAATAAAGTGAGGAACCCTCTAGGAAAATGTAAAATCAGTTAGCTTTATCTTCCTCTCTCAGATTTAAAAAACAACAACAATAAAAATCCCTTCACATCCATCCTCCAAATTTTATGTGAGCTCTAAATATTATAGTGAACACATGCAGAAACATGGAGGTCAGTGGTCTTTCAGGGTCCATTATAGTAGCAGAACAGAGACCAGAATGTGGTCACACACAGTGATATGCATAATATGAGCACAGATTTTCCTAGGCTAAATATGAGCTGATGAAGAAATATCAAAATCTAGTACACAAAATGTTTGCACTTGGATCTATGATCATGTATAATTCCAGAGAAGAGCTTTAATTAATATCTGGACTTGGGGGTAGATGGTTCTCCTTTGTCTTCAGTTCATTACTATCTCTGCAGAATTAAATATCCTGTAGCATTCACTCTCTTAAGAAGACAGAGGAAACAGAGAAATCATGCTGTTTCTGTTAACTGACAACGTGATGATGTCTGGTTTTTGTTAAATATATTACAAGAAATTATTATGTTAGAAAAATATAAATATTTTGTCACATAAATATAGCTACAAAAAAAGAATCTCAAGAAGAGCTGAAACACATTTATAGGAATAGTTTTGGAATGTATGAATTCACTAAACCAAGTGCTTCTGAATACTTCATTTAAAAAGAATAATTTAGAATGCATGTGTTGTTAGGAGTCCTGGTGTGGCACTATAGGATAAGCACTGGGCCTCAAGGTCAGTTTGAACTGCAAGGTCGGGGTTCAAACTCACCAGCCACTCCTCAAAACCCTATACAGGGTCACTATGAGTCAACTCAACTCAATGGCACTTAACAACAACAACAACAAACGTGTATGATGTTGTTACTATTGTGTGCTGTTGAGTCAGTTTTGACTCATGCTGATGTTGTATAGGATTTTCGAGGAGCAGCTGGTGGGTTTGAACTGCTGATTTTGAGGTTAGTAATCCAGTGCTTATACTATCTGGCCCCAAACTTAGTATGTTATTGTTAAGTGCTATTCAGTCATTTCCAACTCATAGAGATCCTGTATAGGGTTTCCATGGAGTGACTATTGGGTTTGAACTTCCGACCTTGCAGTTAGCAGTCAAGTGCTTATTCTACAGTACCACACCACAACTCTATTTGTTGTTGTTGAGTGCCGTCAATATAATGATCTTTAATTGCTCCTCTCTGACTCTTCGACAAATCATGATTGGTCATGTTTTTGTTTGTTTTTCTGTTTTATTTTGTAGCCCCATGACTGCCACTTTTGACTAGAGTGTTTGTCTTTATTCAATATCAAATTCATTGAAATGCCCCTTTTATGACTGATAACATTTCTATCACTAGTATATAAAGCTTTAAAAAAATCACATGTGAATCAAAAGCAGTCTTCATTCCTCATAAATGCCTCAAACACTTTCTAAAGCTATAAAAAGATTTCAAGTTATTCTTTTAGAGTAAAGGCTTCTTTAATGGACATAATTGTTTTCTTTCATGTCTATTTAAAACCACAAAAATATGTAACCCATTTAAATTGCAAACATTTCAAATGACACCTGGTTCTGGTTTGTTCTTATTATTTTCCACTCTCTGAAGCGCAACTGAAAACTGAAAAATGTTCTGAATTGAATGAATGACAAGGGCAATTAAAAAGAAAACTGGAATAATTTTAAAAAGAAAAGAAATCCTCTAACAACCACAGAACATAATTTAACCCTTTTAAATCTAAGGGATTTTGAAGATTGGTTTATATCCAATACTCTGATTTCTAGTCTGCAACTTTCCTGCCTAACTGTACACCTATAAGGAGTATAGTCTTAGTGCTGGACATTGCCACTTCCTCAGCAGGATTCTTGGGTTGAAGAGCTGGGGAAAGTTATCCGACAAGGACAAGGTCAAAACTCTTGTCCCTCTCTAATGCCACAGTTCAGTAACCCTGGTGCACACATCATTTTAGGAGACACAAAGGATTATACCCCTGAGGCCAAGTCCTACACCTCTGATCTTATTGGCTCTAGGACATGTAACACTCTGAGAATTTGTTTTATTATCTGTAGAAAGGTCACAAATGATTGCCCTAGTATCTGTACTGCTGAGTAAAAAAAGAAAAATATTAAAATTTGAAAAATACATGATCTAAATAATATGGAGTACTGGTGTGGCACTGTGGGGTAATGCATTGGACTGCAAGGTCAGTTTGAACTTCAAGGTCAGTAGTTGAAATTAACCAGCTACTCCTTGGAAACCCTATACAGGATCGCTATAGGTAAGAACCTACTTGAAGGCACTTATCAACAAGAACATATATAATGTAAATATGTTAATCCAGTACTTTCTCAGGAAAATATTCTGCATAGGTTATGTTCTTAATAAACATTTGGTGAACGAAAACAAAAGTTCTTAACTACATGATCTAATGGAGTTCTTAGGTAGTAGGAGTGGATGGGTGGGGATGGTGGGAGGACTCATGGCAATTCAGGAGAAGCCACTATTCTTTCTGATCTTGCCTCTAGATATACATTTTTCATTAGATAAGCCCTAGCATGTCTTGTGCAAATTCCACAGAGAAAGAAGTCAGTCTAAATTTGATGGTTATAGGTAAAGAACTTCCTTGGAGACTTTATTAGTATAATTTAGAAAATGATATAGTTTGTACATGAAAGAAATTATGAAGCTTATTAAGACCTACAGAATATTTACAAACATTGCCCACAAAATTGAGGATGTTTCTTACAAGGTTTTCAAGATTTATAAACCACTAGTTGCTGTTGGGAGTCCTGGTTTGGTGCTGTGGGTTAATGATCTGGATTGCGAAGTTGTTTGAATTGCAAGGTCAGTGACTCAAGCTCATCAATAGCTCCTTGGAAACCCTATGCAGGGTTCTATGGGTAGGAACTGAGTTGACAGCAGCACTTAACAACAAGTTATTGTTGAGTTGATGCTGACTCATGCTGACTCAAGTGCAGACAAAGTAAAACTGTGCTCTGAAGGGGTGTCAATGACCGATTTTCCCCACATTTCCTATTTTTTAAAAATTGAAATATTGATTGAAATATAATAAACCTCACCAAAGTACAATGCTATTTTAATATTTTTATGCAGCATAAACTATTGAAATTGATTTGTTTTTTGTTCTACCATCACTATATTTTATTCAAAATATATACCAAGTAATGCCTAACAACAAAGTAAATTTGCTGGGCACTCTCCCGTTTCTTCTTCTATCTTAGCTGAACTGTGAAAAAAACACCTAACAACAACAACAACATTCCTAATTTAAAAAGCACTGAAGGTGCTTTGGGTACAAAGCTTATCAGGCACTCCTAGGGCAAAAAATGAGGCTGTCTGTGCCCATAGAGATTTACAGTCTTGGAGTCAGAAATGCTAGGAGTTGAAATGGACTCAACGGGAATATATATATATAATTCCCTTTAAGGAGTATGATAGCAAAGAGGTTCTGCATGCTAACTGAAAGGTCAGTGGTTTGAACCCAGCAGCCACTCCAATGTGGGAGTCAGCTTCTATAATGATTGGCAGCCTAGGAAATCCTATGGGGGCACTTCTACTCGGTCCTGTTGGGTCACTATGAGATTGAATTGACTCAACAGCAATGGGTTTTATTCCCATTAAATTTTTAAAATGTATAATTATGGACATAATTAAGAATTTTAGCTGTTTTTTGGAAAGAACATACCAAAAAGTTTTCTCAGCTTAATTTGCCAAATTTCTCCATCCTTCCTCCAATTGTAAAAAGCATTGTTTAAATACAAGCTTACCCACTGGGAAGAAAGGGAACCAACTAGGAAAATAATTATTTAAAAAGAGAAAAAGTCTTATTCTTACATATTGGCACATTGGTTTTAAATCACTTTGCAGCATACACATCCCAAAATTCACTCACCTTGACATGTCTTTCCGTTCAGCATGAGTTGATAACCCAGAGGGCAGCTGCACTGGTAACTTCCAAAGGTATTTTTACATTCATGTTGACAGGCGTCTCTGTTTTCACATTCATCAATATCTGTTCAGAAAGAAAGCAGAGTGCATAAACATGCTGAACACAGGCAGCAGCCATTACAGAACCAACTATAAGTTGTTGATACACCAGAGAAAAATTTCTTGGTGATTTTACATTCAAGTGTTTAAAATGCTCAGTACTGTTTTATATCCAGATCTGTTTTCAATTAAGTCTGACATAAATGATACTATTTTATAAAATATGAACATTTCTTTTGTGTATTAGCATACATGAGCTGTATCTCAAAACTGGCCAATTTTCACATTGAATAAAACAAGACTCAAATGGTAGAAGACTGATTTGTATAAGGTCCAAAGGCACTACAGCACTAAACTTTTGACAGAATGATAGAACTTATTTAAGAAATAAAGTTTCTATTAAGATTAACTGGAAAAAGGTATACTAGGTAGGTTTTTTTTTTTTTTTCAGTTGCTAGAAATTTTATTTTATTAATGCTCAAAAATGGCATGATTCCTTCATTGACTCTAGCTCTTTTCTAAAGAAACACTCCCACCTAATCCATAACTGCATCTACTGAAGTAAAAAATAAAAACCAACCTTGAATTAAGAATGCCTTTTCAATCTCTTCAAGAATGTCTAATCTCTGGTATTTTTAAATACTTCAAATATAAAAAGTTACATTAAAATGTTTCCTGTTGCTGATAACAGATATATTAATTTTTAATTTATTTAAATTTTGAGCTCTCTTTCTGCCCTCAACACATGAACAATTTCCTCACACACAGATATCATCAAACTCCACAAATATTTTACTTTTGTGATAGGAATATTCACTTAAATTTTTATACAACTGTAAAGTAGTAATGACAATTTAGCATGAGTGGTACTGTCCACAGTAATGGAAAGCTGATCACAAGGGAGACTGTTCCTTATCCATCACGTTCAGCTTTAGGCACATCAGAATGTCTAGACAGAAAAATCCTAGTAAATCTTAAAAAATGGATCTAAAGAACAAAGGATCAAGTTGAGTGTCCAGAGGGGTTAAGAGTTGAATTGAGTGAGGTGGTATGAAAATCTGGGCCCACCTAAGAGAAGATAATCGTACAGAAGCAGGATTCGGAGAAGGATAAAGAGAGGACAGAAGTATAAGTCAGGAGGAAAAGAAATGTTTAAGAAGAGGAAGACCCTTAATGAGATGGATCGAAACTGTGGCAAGAACAATGGGCTCAAACACAATTGTCAGGATGGTGCAGGGCAAGTGAGTGCTTTGTTCTGTTGTACATAGGACCACTCTGAGTTGGAACCAACTTGATAGCACCTAAAAACAACATATTTAAGTGATAATATACAAAGTGTAGAGCACTTAAGAGAAATGTAAAACAAATGTGGTTGGAATAGTGCTGTCTCTAAGCAATTTTTTTTTCTTGCCTTCTTCTCTTCCTCCCCCCTCTTTCTTCCTTCCTTGCTTTGATTTTTAATTAACGAAAAGTGAGGCAATGAATTATATTTTCCTTGTGTCCTGTTTGTGAAGTTCCCTTGGTGCCTAGCTCAATGACATTCAAAATGTGGATACTCTCAGAAAATTGAGTTAAATGAATGACAGATGGTAACGTTTGCAACTTAACTGAAAACAAGATCTCAGTTCTTGTCTTGGAAATTACACTTCACTTTTGCATACAAATAAAATTACAAACTTGTAGTTTAGATAAAGATATTGAAACCATATATTTTAGAGTGAAGGAAACATTGCTATTTAGTTTTGGCTAGCATTATCTTTTAAGTCACTTACAAAAACACAAAATATTGGTACTGAGGACTTCCATGGGGACTGCAGGGTATTAGTCAATGAGGTGACAGCTGTCATAAAGAACTAGCAACTAATTCAAACAGTTACCTTTTCACCTGCTGCTTGGAGTCCTGGTTTGGTGCTGTAGAATAAGCACTGGACTGCTAAGCCCAGGGTTTGAAGTTCAAACCCACCTGCTGCTTCTCAGTCACCTCATGTTGTTGTTGTTATGTGCCGTGGAGTCGGTTCCGACTCATAGCGACCCTGTACAGGGTTTCCGAGGCTGTAAATCTTTATGGGAGCAGAAAGCCTCATCTTTCTCCCGCAGAACAGTTGGCAGTTTCGGACTGCTGACCTTAAGGTTCGCAGCCTGATTCGTAACCACTACGCTACCAGAAAGCCCATACAGAGTTACTATGAGTCAGAACTGACTCAACAGCACTTAACAACAACAACCTACTGCTTTGGGATCAATCAGACACAGTCATAATAACATGTTAGTATATTATGTGGCATCACATATATTCTTTTTTTATAAAAAATCTGTATTCTGAATGCTGACAAATTTATTTCTAAATAGCATTAAATTAACACTTTCAGAGAGGAACTGGCATATAACACAAATTATTAGAATGCACATCTGTAAATACATAGACCAGTTGTCTGAATAAAATTTGTAATTGCTTTAGATACCAAGGAAACTATCTTGAAACACTGAGTCATCCCAGATTTGAAATCAGATGCCGTTGCATTAAAACTATCACAGGAGCTATAAATATGAGTATTCTCTGGTCAGTAACTGAGCCCACAGAAAGGAAATGCAATATGGCCGACATTTACCTACACATGTGTCAAGGTTTGCCTCAGAGCCTTCAGGGCAAGTTATCCTAATAGTCCTTCTAGTCCTGGAGAAAGATGTCCTGCTGTTTCTATACTCTGAGAAGGAGCTGTAGAGATGTGAGTACTGTCTGTAATGCTGTTGAGGTTGATAGTTGTTTCTCACAGGGGAGAACCGTGCAAGGTTATAGCTACTGTACTGAGTGCCATGATTGGGCAGCCTCTCCAATCCAGCGCAAGATTTCCCGTCCCCTAATAAATGTTGTCCTGGGGGACAGATACACTTGAAGCTGCCAGGGGTGTTGGAGCACTGATGTGCACAAGGTTTAGGCACTTGTTCACACTCATTAATGTCTGCTCATGTGGCATGATACATAAAAAAGAAAAAACAAAACAAAAAACAAGAACACACATACACACACATACAAAATAAAAACACAGGAATAAAACATCAGTCTGTAAAACAAATGGAGGCTATTATGTTACCCTCCAAAGGCAGGAATATATATAGTAATTTCTCCTCAACTCATGTGAACCAGGGAGAAAGTTCTGATCACCCAGTTTTGGAATACTGTATATAAAAAAGATTTTGTGTCAAGCTTTATTTAAACATTCTCTTTGGAATAAAGGTGTCTCAGAAAACCAGATATTAGTTCTGTGAAATGATCTTCATTTTATTTTTAGCTGTGATAGCCACAAGACCTAAAAACTCTGGCTTCAGCCTTATTTCCTGGTCTGAGAAAAACACCTGGATGTTGTATTAGTATGATCTAATCTGACATACATTATTATATGCAATTATAAAGGGATTCTTGGCATATTAATCTTAGATACACTATATACATATTTCTGAGTTCAATCAGGTCTTTAAAGATATCCTAAATTGTTGTTATATTCTTCTCTTCTAAGGAGAAGAGATTCAAAAGACTGTGGAATCCAAAATTTATATGATTAACATTAGACTACAATTATGAAAAAAGTGTCAGAAACTCCTAATACAATGATATCTGTAAATACTCAAATTTCATTTCTTAAATTGCTCACTCTCTTTTGACTAATAGCTCTTTCAGATGGATTACTCATTATTCTAACTGGTTGAAGAGTTTGGAAGTATCTTATTTGTTTAGATGTAATTTTTGTAAGCCTGTAACTACCTTTATGAAGGACACTGATGATGTAATGGTTAAGCATTGGGCAGCTAATCCAAAGGTCTATTGTTCATATCCACCAACGTCTCTAAGGGAAGAAAGGCATGGTGGTCAGCTGCTGTAGATTTCAGTCTAGGAATTCCTATGGGGAAGTTCTACTATGTTCTATAGAATGAGTCAGAACTAGCTCAATGACATGCAACAGCAGCAACTACCTTTATGCTTATTTGTTTATATTTGTGTAAGAGGTCTAGGTCTCCATGCAAGGGTTTCCCTCCTAATAACAAAGAGAGTGATTGTTTCCAAATATAAATCATTTCATCCTGCTTCTCTAGTCAAGACGTTGCATGTCTTCCCATCACATCTTCAGAATAAAATCTAAGTTTTTCATCACCACTTCTTTCCCCACTATCTACTTTGTTCCAACAACATAGACCTTCTTCTCTCAGGAACTTTGCGCTGACCCCCCTCAGTCTGGAATACATTTGCTATATTCCTTCATTTTGTTTGGTCTCTTTGAGAGGCTGCCACAGTGCCAACAACCTAGCTTTGGTTATCCTCTCTTCGTACCCTGCTTTAGTTTTTCTAAAAGTGCTTATTGCTGCCAGAATCATATTATATATTTGTTTTGTGGTCAATGTTTCTTTCCAAGAATTTAAAGCTATGAGGAAAGAGAGCTTGTATGCTCCATTTAATGCTGTATACTCACAATCTAGAATACTGTCTAGCATAAATTGGAGACTCAACAAATATTTGATGAATTAATGAAATAATGAGTTTAACATAATGTACCAAATCAAGACACTAACAGAACCTGGAAGGCCATATGTGAAAATGTATTTTTGACTTTAGAGAAATCAGAGTTCAAAAACTAGTATGTCTAAGTTCTGTTGGTAGTAGGGGAGAATACAATCATATTTCTAGTTTGTACTTTTAATGAGAATATTTATCACTAGTGTCTTTAATCTTTCATACAATTATAAGTTTCATATGCAAAACTTTGGTACAACTACAAATTTTTTTTTTAGTTAAAAAATTAAAATTAATGATCAAGGCCAAGTACAGCTTTTCGCAATAGATTAAAAAAACAGGAAATGAAGACAATTCTTTCTTCTTAAGATATACACTCACAAAGTTCTACAGTTAAAAAAATATGATACACTTTTTCTTCTGTGTTATGACATGGAGTTAAATACTCCAATTATCCCTGCAGCTTAGAAAAGAGCATAAAGACTAGGGGTCAAAATCAAATTCTTTGATATATTAACACAGTTGCATGAAATAAAACAACATGCATAAGTAGAATAAAAAGAGTAAATTATACTTTAAAAATGTTTGAATAGGCACAAGAGTAACGTTTTTAAGTTTAAATGTTCAAGACAGTGGTCCTCCCTCCTTTACTGTTTTATCTTCCAGCCCAATGCCTGACATTAATTTCTGGTAAAATTAGAAAACAGATAAACACATTTCATTTTGAAAGTACTCATTAAGATGCTAAAGAATTACATGTAAATAGAAGAGAAAAACTATATACTATTTACTTAGGCTATCAAAAAGCATTTCCTTTAAGAGAGTATCTAATAATGACATTAATTTGATTATGTGCCATGTACAAAGTACTATGATAGGGACTGCAGAAAGACAAAACTAAGACTACATGGAAGAACTTGCTATAAATGATTGCTAAGTAGACAACAAATACTATCAGTCTTAAAAACATAGTACGAAACCCAGAAGCTAGTACTTAAAAGTATACACAATTTTTTTTACTGAACTTAACATTCTGGGAAAGAACACAATGTGATAGATTAGCTTGATTACAAATGTATTAATTTAAAAAGTTATCGGTTAGCTTCTTACAGATACTTTCTATTATCTAGCATCTGGCTTATTTTATATTCAATTATAATTAAGATGGCAACAAATGCCAACGAGAATTAAATGAGATATTAGCACAGTGAACAGCGTATGTGGCTGTTGTTTAGTGCAGTTAAGTCATTTTGGACTCAGCAACCCTGTATAGGGTTTCCAAGGAGTGGCTGGTGAGCTTGAACCACTGACATTGCAGTTCAAACTGACTTTGCAGTCCAGCGCATTTACCTGCAGCATCGCACCAGGATTCCATGAATGGCAAATAGTAAACACTAGATGGACTGTAGATGAAGTAATAATTTTCAATTTGTTAGAATATTGAGTTCATGTTTTGATCCCTCACCTCTAAAACATATACTGAACACTCAAAATGTATCTATGAAAACATTTATGCCATGTTCACAGACAATTAATACGATAATCTAGATAATTAAGTTATCATGGCAATTCTATCACAGCCTCACTTTGATGTGTATGGTATTTAGTAAGTACTCAGTAAATGATTACTGTTATTATTTAAAATGTCAGTGTACATTTATGAAGTAATAATGCCAATGATGTTATGAATTACTTAAACCAAATTACATGTATGTTCATTGGAGCAAGAGAGTATTTGAGAATAGAGAGTGATCCTAAGCAAATGTATGGCTAGGGAACTCCATAAGTAACTTCATTACTCAACAAGAGTTCCTGTTGACTTACCCATACAGGGTCTTCCAACTCCTTGAGACCGATAACCTCTTGGACACACACAACGATAGCTGCCTCTTGTATTTTCACAAATCTGGTTATATCTGCATTGATGAGTCCCATCTTTGCATTCATCAATATCTATAGATACAGAGGCAACAAAAAGTAGTAATATTTCCTCTTTCAAACCCCTAAAAACATTATATTTAAATAAACCTTCTGTAGCAATTGTCAGCATTTGGAAAGATCAAATCAATATAAGATTTAAGAGTCAAAAAACCTGGGTCAACTTTCAGTTCTGTCACTTATTAATTGGCTCCTTTTCCTCCTGCCATTCACTAATAAGGAAAGAGTTTTCATATTCAGATTTTCTTCACTCCCTTTCTTTTGGTCATTTTATTCATACTAGCGACTTATTCCAGTGTCTCTAGTAAGCTTGTTTGTATAGATTTAGAGTAAAAGTGATATGTTGCTTCTTATCTCTGGTCCCACATGTCCAGCTGCTAGCTGGACATGTCCGTGTCCATGATGCATTGGTAGTTCAAATTCAGTGAGTCCCCAGTTCATAGTCTCACTCCCTTATTTCTGATAATCGCACTCCAACTTTCCTAGCCAACCAACCAGACTGTACACATTAGTCTCCTTTGACTTATTCTATCAGTTGCCAAGATTGGGTAATTCTACTTTCTTCACTCAAACTACATTTTTAATCCCACAGAGCTACATTTTTGCAGTAGCTTCTTAACCTTCTTATGAATCTTTTATCTAATTAATAATTATAGGGCCCATCTTCCTAAAAATATGTATATTTGCATGTAACTGTATGTGATGCCAAGTTGAGGGCTATCATAATAATTAAGAAAAATATTTACCTATATTCATCATTGGACAAATGAAAAGAGACAGTGAAAGCTGATAGCTCAATTTATCCTAGTTTATTTTTCATTTAAACTTATTAAGGAAAAATATAAATATATACAGCAGTGTAGGATAAGCACTGGACTGCTAACCAAAAGACTGACAGTTCGAACCTACCAGCCACTCCTAGGAAATCCTATACAGGGTCATAATAAGTTGAAACCAACTCAATGGCACTTAACAACAACAGCAAAAATAGAGAGAAAAGTAAAATGAACCTTCATGTACCTCAACAAGTATCAACACATTATCAATCTTCTTTCTTCTATATCTCTATATTCCCCACCCCTTTATCATATTATTTTAAAACAAGTCCAATACATTTTATAATTTTATTAATACATATTTCAAAATAATTATTTAAACCTATTTAAAAAAATGAGAAACCTAAATGCAGATTCTTGTATGATCCTGAGACTTATCCAAGATCCTCTACATGTCAAGAAGGAAAGATTTATTTTAACACTTATCTACACTTTTCTTCAAGTCCTGGTGTGGCGCTGTGGGTTGATGTGCCAGACTGCACAGCCATTTGAACTGCAGGGGCAGCAGTTTAAGCTCACCAACTGCTCCTTGGAAACACTATACAGGGTTGCTATGGGTTCGAACCGACTTGATGGCACTTAACAACAACAACAACAGCACTTTTCTTACTTTTTTAACCATTAGCATTCCATCTATGCCCTCTTTAAATATGGTCACGTCCATGGAATCTTGATAATTACTCCTGTAGGATATGATCAGTCTCTCCTAAGTACTGTCATACAATTTTATATGTATCTCCTTTATAGTATTTAATTCTGTCTTATAGCTTCTTTTTTTTTTTTTGGTAAGTACATGAGAGCATAATTGGTATCTGTTTTGTTTCTGTAGATCCTGTAGCTCACAGTAGTTAGCTTTGCAGATTAGGGACTGTATTGTTGTTGTTACTAGGTACCTTTTAGTTGATTCTGATTCATAGTGATCTTAGGTATAACAGAACAAAACACTGACTAGCCATGTGACATACTTACAATCACTGTTAAGCTTGAGTCCACTGCTGCTGCCACTGTGCCAATACATCTCATTGAGGGTCTTCCTCTTTTTGGTGCGCTTTCCACTTTACCTAGCATGAGATCCTTCTCCAGGGACTGGCCCCTCCTGACAATATGTCTGAATTAAAGATTAAGTGTCACTATCCTGATTTCCAAGAAGCATTCTGGTTGTACTTCTTCAAACACAGATTTGTTTGATCTTCTAGCAGTTCATGGTACTTTTAATATTCTCCAATACCATAACTTATATGCATCAATTCTGCAGTCTTCCTTATTCACTGTCAAATTTTCACATGCATATGAGGCTGTTGAAAATACCACAGCTTGTGTCAGGTGCACTTTAGTCCTCAAACTGACATCTTTGCTCTTGAACAGTTTAAAGAGGTCTTGTGCAGCAGATTTGCCTAGCGCAATATGTCTTTTGATTTCATGACTGTTGCTTCCATGAGTGTTGATGGTGACTCAAAGCAAATTGAAGTCTTTGACAACTTCAATCTTTTCACCATTTATGTGGATGCTGTTTATTGGTTCATTGGTGAGGCTTTTTGTTTTCTTTACATTGAGGTGCAACCCATATCAAAGGCTGTGGTCTTTGATCTTCATCAGCAAGTATTTTAAATCCTCTTTGTTTTTAGCAAGGGCAGTTGTATCATCAGCATATCACAGGTTGTTAAACAGTCTTCCTCCAATCTTGATTCTACTTTCTACTTCATATAATCAAGCTTCTCGAATTATTTGCTCCGCAACAGATTGAATAAGTATGGTGAAAGAATACAACTGTGGTACACACTTTCCTGATTTAAAACCATTCAGCATCCCCTTGTTCTGTTTGAACAACTGCCTTTTGGTCTATGTGCAGGTTCCTCATAAGCTTAATAAGTATTCCAGAATACTCACTCTCTTCAATGTGGTACATGGCTTGTAATAATCCACACGGTCGAAAGCATTTGCTTTCAATCAATAAAACATAATTTTCAAGATCAATAAAGGACAGTGGCATGTGGATTAATGCACTGGACTGTAAAGTCACTTTGAACCACAAGGTCAGCAGTTCAAGCTAACCACAGCTCTTCGGAAACCCTATTCAGGGTTGCTATGGGTTAGAACCAACTCGCCAACACTTAACAACAACGAACATCTTATTTGTATTTGTTGCTTTCAGTCCAAATCCATTTGATGTTAGCAATATCCCTCGTTCCACATTCTTGTCTGAAACTGATTTGAGCCTCTAGCAGTTCCTTGTTAATGTAATGCCATTTTTTAATATATTTAGCAAAATTTTACTAGCATGTGATATTAATGATATTATCCATTGATTTCATCAGTCTGTTGAGTCATCTCTCTTTGGAATGGGCACAAATAATAGATCTATTCCAATCAGTTTTCCAGGTAGCTGTCTTCCAATTTTCTTGACATAGTTGACTGAATGCCTGCAGTGCTGCTTCAGTTTGTTGAAAGATTTCAATTTGTATTCCATCAATTCCTGGTGCCTTGTTCTTTGCCAATGCCTTCAGTGTACCTTGGACTTTTTCCTTCAGTACCATTGCCTCTTGATCATATGCTACCCCTTGAAACAGTTTAACATTGACCATTTCTTTTTGGTACAGTGACTGTGTATTTCTTTCATCTTCTTTTGATGCTTTCTGTATCACTTGCCCAAAGAATTCTTCAGTATTGTAAGTCGTAGCTTGAACTTTTTCCTCAGTCCTTTCAGCTTGAGAAAAGCTGAGTATGTTCTTCCCTTTTTGGTTTTCTAACTCCGGATCTTTGTACATTATATTTGACTGTCTTCTTGAGTTGCCTTTGAAATGTTCTGTTTAGTTCTTTTATGTCCCCTTTTCTTCCATTTGCTTTAGCATTTTGACACTGGATAGCAAGTTTCAGCATCTTCTGACATCCATTTTGGCCTTTTCTTTCTTGCTTGCCTTCTCAATAGCCTCCTGCTTTCTTCTTGTCTGATGCTCTTTCTTTCATCCTACAACTCTTCTGGTCCTCGGTCATTAGTGTCTAATTCATCAAATCTCTTTTGAGATGATCTCTAAATTTAGGTGGGATATGTCCAAGGTAATATTTTGATTCTTGTGAATTTGCTTTACTTTTCTTCAACTTCAGCCTAAACTTGCATATGAGCAATTGATGGTTTGTTTCACAGTCTGCCTTTGGTCTTGCTTTGACTGATGATATGGAGCTTTTCCACGATCTCTTTCTACAGATGCAGTCAGTTTGATTCTTATATGCCATCTGGTGAAGTCTTTTATGTTGCTTAAAAAATGTATTTGCTATGAATAATTCACTGGTCTTGCAAAATTCTATCAGGTGATCTCTAGCATCATTTCTATCACCAAGACCATATTTTCCAACTATTGATCCTTCTTCTTTGTTTCCAACCTATGCATTCAACTCACCAGTAATTATTACTACATCTTGATTTTATGTTTGATCAATTTGATCAATTTCAGAAGTTTGTAGAATTTTTCAGTTTCATCATCACTAGCTTTAGTGGATGAACAATAGTGATATTAATTGATCTTTCTTAAAGTCAAAATGATATTATCATATCGCAGACAGCATTATGCTTCAAAATAGATCTTAAAATGTTCATTTTTATAATAAATGTGACACCATTGCTCTTCAACTGGTCATTTCCATCATAGTAAACTATGTGATTGTCAGATTCAAAACGGCTAATACTAGTTCATGTCAGCTCACTAATGCCTAGCATACTGATGTTTATGTTCATATTTTACAACTTCCAATATTCCTAGATTCATACTTTGTACATTCGATGTTCCAATTATTAATGGAAGTTTGTAGCTGTTTCTCATTTTGAGTTGGGCCTCATAAGCAAAAAAAGCTTTACTCTATTCCTGTCATCACAATCAACTCTACTTTGAGGAACCAGCTTTTTTACCAGTTGTACTTTAAGTGCCTTCCAAACTGAGGGGTTCATCTCCCAGCACTATATCTGGCAATATTATGGTGTTATTCATCATGTTTCAATATTTAGTATACTGGGACTATTCGACAGTGTTTCACTGCTATTCATAAGTTTTTCAGTGGCTAAATGTTTGCAAGTAGTCTACCACCCCTTTTTCTGAGTCTGTCTTAGTCTGGAAGCTCAACTGATACCTATCATGGGGGATCCTAACAGCATTCAAAAAACTGCTGGCACAGCAGTACATAAGTCACACAGTGCGACACACGCACAGATAAGTGGTGAAATCTACTGTAGTATCTGATCATTAATTTGACATTTAAAAAATGACTTCAAAATAACAATTTTGTTGAGATTTAAAACATTTTTACCAACATTTTTCCTAACCCCCTGCATGAAAATCTAAAAATATATGCTAAATTTCATGCTAGAAACAATGCTAGACAATAGTAAATTATGTGTATATTAAATTATTTAAGGTGTGGCACTATGAGTTAATGTGCTAGGCTGCAAAGTCGGTTTGAACTGCAAGGTTGGCAGTTTAAGCTCACCAGCTGCTCCTTAGAAACCCTATACAGGATTGCTATGAGTTGGAATTGATGGGACGGCAATTAACAACAATAACAACAAATAGCTGTTAGGGGCTCAAAACTCTGTATGATGAGTTTCTGTTTCCTAATATAGACGTGACTTTGGGACTCCAGGGCATAAACATACTAAAGCTGGGGGCTCATATCTATGAGAAAAGAAATATACTTGTTAGATAGAGATTTACTCTAATTATTAGTTTTAAAAATACATGCTCTACTTGGCTTGTTGATGGCAAATGGGTCTCAGTCACTGAAATAATCCTACACTTACCAATGCAGGTTCCATTTTCTGCCTTGGTCATTCCGTTGGGACAAAGATCAATGCACTTATAGCCACCCCGGGTATTCTTGCAGTGCTGATCTGGTCTGCACACATTCTGTCTACATTCATTCACATCTTGAGCAAAGAACAAACGTAATGAAGACTGAGTCAATAATTTAGCCTACTTTTCCAGAGAAACCACACCATGGGTTTTATGAATATCACCTCTTAAAAAAAATCTAGATCTTCATTGCATAATCAGCATATGAGATTTAGGGTGCTTAAATGTAATAAAGTATGTTAACACATTTTATTTTTAAACAAATTGATAAAAATAAAAGACAACATA